AGTTATTATTATACACTTCCTTCACCCGAAAAATTTATATCACTATTACAATTACAAAATGCAGTAATCTTGCATAACATTTCTAAATTTATTTTTCTCGCCACAAAAAAACGTAATACAATTATTTTGGTCTGACAGTTCATGTTCTTTTCATATTTTCTTGTTCTTTTTCAGTCACTGTAAAATGACATTGTCCTCTGTAACATGTTATGTAATTACAATGAGTATACCTTGAGGCCGGAGGCCTACAGTATTATGAATAACTTTATTATTATTTATTACTGTACAGAAAAGACACACAATATTCAAGATTGTAATAAATTTACCCAGAAACTCCACAGGGACAGGGTGCAATACATAAGGTCTAAAGGCCTATGCTATGGGTGCCTCAAGAAAACAGATCACCTTGTTAAAGATTGTACACACAAGCTATCATGTGCTACATGTAAACAAAAACACCCCACTGTGCTGCATATAGAGAAAAACTGTGACAAGGAAGACAAAACAGTCTCAACCACTGTGGGAATGACTGAAATATACAGAGGCACTTCTGAGGCCAAGCAGGCAGCTTACAAACCAGTTGTATTACCAGTTATTCTCCGGTGCAGAGCTACAGGCATTTCCACACAGACTTATGCCTTTCTTGATGGCGGCAGCGATAGTGTTTTCTGTACTGACAGTATTAGTGGTCAGCGTACCAAGCTGAACGTACATACAATAAATGGAAATAAGGCAACAGAAACCTATTCAGTGAGTGGTTTAGAAGTTATCAGCTTAGATGGTCATTGGTCTCCCATCAGTGTACACCCAGGATACTATTCCAGTCTCAAGGAAAGACATACTGCACCAAAAGGACATAGCAGGTTACGTTTATTTACACAGGGTATGTTTGCCAAGTATAGATGCTGATGTAGGCCTACTTATCGGTAACAACGTACCAAAAGTATTCGAGCCATGGGAAATTATAAATAATCAAGGGGATGGTCCTTTTGCAGTTCGTACTCTACAGGGTTGGACCGTTGGTGGTGCACTTATTGAACCAGCCACAGAACTAGTAGATGGGTGGAAAGTACAAGTCAACGTTAACAAAATAGAAACTCAAACACCTGTGGGTATACAGTTAACTAATTACTTTATCTCGAATTCAGCGAGAGGACTATCAATGATGTCCAAGAATATTCTGTTTAAGATAAGAAGTTTTTGAAGGTTATGGACAAATAATCGGTCAATTCCAGTTACCATTGCCCTTTCGTGAAGAGAATGTTGTAATGCCAAATAATAAGGCAGTTGCAGAATACAGACTTAAACATTTGGAAAGAAAGTTTACAAAGAATCCTCAGTATCACAAGGACTATGCTAAGTACATGCAGAATAATATAGACAAAGCGTTCGCTGAAAGGATCCCAGGTAATGAGCTACCTCACGGTATATATCATCCTCAGAAAAAGAAGCTTAGGGTGGTGTTTGACTGTGGTGCAGTCTATAGCGGAACATCACTGAACAAGGAATTACTCCAGGGTCCAGATTTGACCAACTCATTGCTTGGTGTGTTGATTAGATTTCGTCAGGAGGCCGTTGCTTTGATGGCAATAATAGAGGGCATGTTCTCTCAGGTGACCATGCCTAAGAATTTCCAGAACTTCCAAAGATTTCTGTGGTGGCCTGAGGGTGATTTCCATCAACCAGCAGTGGAGTATCGGGATGAAAGTTCACCTGTTTGGTGCTACCTCGTCACCTAGCTGTGCCAACTATGTTCTTAGGAAAAGTGCCAACAACAGTGAATCAACTGACATCAAGAGCACCATACGGAAGAACTTCTATGTCGACGATATGCTCAAGTCGGTACCCACCATTGGAGAAAGCAAGGTGATGGTAAATGCACTCGTAGATGCCTGCAGGCAAAATGGTTTCAGACTCACAAAGTGGATTTCCAATAGGCGAGAAGTCATAGAGAGTGTTCCTGAAGAGGACAGAGCAGGTGGAATCAAGAATTTAGACTTGGACCATGATAGGCTCCCTACAGATCATGCTCTGGGCCTGCAATGGAATGTAGAGGAAGACACTCTTGGGTTCAGAGGGGAAACTAAAGAGAAACCATTAACCAGGAGAGGTATATTGGGCACGGTGAGTTCTGTATACAACCCCTTGGGCCTGGCTGCACCAGCGATTCTTCCAGCTAAGATTATCTTACAGTCCTTATGCAAGGATAGACTAGGATGGGACGACGAAATTCCTGCTGCACAAGTTGAGCATTGGAACAAATGGGTTTCTAGTCTGCCTGAACTAGAAAAGAACTTTAGCGTACCAAGATGCTTGAAGCCTACAGGTTTTCGTGTGCCTATGTCTTCTGAATTGCACCACTTTTCAGATGCGAGTGATGTCGGTTATGGTGTGGTTTCGTACATCAGAATGGTGAACCTGAATGCTGATATTCATTGTGCGCTGTTGTCAGCAAAAGCTAGAGTGAACCCACTAAAGCGGGTGACTATTCCACGTTTGGAATTGGCTGCCAGTACTGTCGCTGTTCGAACAGATAAGATGTTGAAAAGGAAATTAGACATCCCAATTGCAGAGAGCTACTTTTGGACAGATAGTCAATCTGTTCTGCGTTATGTTAGTAACAAGTCAGAAAGATTTCATACTTTCATCGCAAATAGATTGGCAGTAATACACGAAGGGTCCAAACCTAATCATTGGGCCTATGTTAAAAGCAGTCTCAACCCTGCAGATGAATGCTCCAGAGGTCAAACTGTACATAAGTTTTTGAAGAATGCTAGATGGATCAGAGGACCTGATTTCTTGTGGGACGTTCCTGATGTATGGCCAAGGCATCCCTATGATATTCAGCTGCAACCTGAAGATCCAGAAGTAAAAAAGGTTGCTACTGTTCGTGCAACATTTGCCCGTGACCCAGAGAATCCTGTACGCAGACTTATTCAACATTATTCCAGTTGGTACCATCTAAAGAGGGCTGTGGCCTGGATTCTGAAAGTTAGGCAAATTCTAAAGAAAAGGATAAATGGTGTGAAATCATGTATGTTGCATGCACAAGAAATTAACAATGAAGACTTGGAGGAAGCAGAAACAGCTATAATCAAAATTGTTCAAAAGGATTCCTTTTCGGATGAGATCAACACTCTTGAAGGCAAGCTAAATCAAACAAAAGTGAGCTGTATACGCAAATTAGACCCAGTTCTAGATAAAAGTGGAATCATGCGAGTGGGAGGACGTCTCAACATAGACATGATCCCAGAAGATGCTAGACATCAAGTGATCTTGCCGAAGAACTCTCACGTGTCAGAGCTTATACTATGTGATATACACGATAGGAGTCACATGGGCAGGATGTACATGATTTCAAAACTAAGGGAAAAGTACTGGATTGTTAATGCTAATGCAGCAGCAAGGAAGTTGATCAGCAAATGCGTCGTGTGTCGACGTCTGAAAGCAAACCCAGGCGAACAGAAAATGGCAAGCCTCCCAGCAGACATAGTCACCCCTAATGAACCACCCTTTTGGACCAATTAATGTTAGACGGAGGCGTAGCACTGTGAAAAGTTATGGGGTTATTTTTATCTGCTTAGCCATAAGGGCCGTACACATTGAGAAGGCTGATTCGCTGGACACTGCATCATACATTAATGCATTGAGAAGATTTGTATCATGCAGAGGCAACGTTACAGATATAAGATCAGACAATGGTACAAACATCGTGGGGGCGGAACGTGTTTTAAGAGAAGAGTTGGGAAAATGGAACACTACTCAGATAAAGGACAACCTGATGAAGGATGGCGTCACTTGGAAATTCAACCCTCCTTACGGTTCATATTTCAGAGGAGTCTGGGAACGCCAGATCAGAAATATAATGCGTTTGTTACAAGCTACAGCTAACAAACAGACACTTACAGATGAAAGCCTTGCAACCCTCTACTGTGAGGTAGAGGCCATAATCAATAGTCGGCCCATAACACAACCATCAGGTGAAGCACATGACGTTGAAACACTTACCCCTAATATGCTGCTTACTATGAAATCCACATCTCTCCCACCTTGTTTGGTAACTAAAAGCGACTCATATGCTGTATCCAGATGGAAGAAAGTGCAATATCTTACTGAAATCTTCTGGAAAAGGTGGAAGAAGGAGTACCTACCCCAGCTTCAAGTGCGCCAGAAATGGTTGAAGCAGAGACCTAACCTTAAACTAGGAGACATAGTTTTAGTTATAGACCAAAACACTCCAAGAGGCGTGTGGCCCTTGGGTAGGGGAGTACAGACGATGCCCGACAAAAAAGGTCTAGTGAGGCGGGTATTGGTGAAGACCAGAAACACAGTAATAGAAAGACCAATTGATAAACTGTGTACTCTATTGGAGGCAGATGGTTAGTAAAGTGTGTTGCCACCCACATGAATGATGAAGAATGGTACATGAATCTGGTATAACAGAGATGGTTATCATGCTGTTTTTTGGTGATACAATAAGATATCAGCACAACATTTCTACATTATCTGTTGTGTTCTAACAGTTGGCCCATCAAACCAACTGTGAATTGCAGAATAACAACGTTCTCAAACAGCAAACATCAACTTGCTGTGTTCAGCGCTTGGGTGGATATGGAGTCTTGAATTATATCGGACCAATATTAGTGAGCCCTATGTTTATAGGGTGGCCATGTCATAGACGCACATGGTGAACAAATGGAACCTGTTTATTTAGATTGGTCTCCCAGCAAGTCTATTTAGATCGGTCGTCCAGCAAGTCTATTTAGATCGGTCGTCCAGCAAGTCTATTTAGATCGGTCGTCCAGCAGGTATAGCTAGTTTTGCAATTTCAGTGGTGACACTTTATTGTATCGATATTAATCGTTTATTATTTGTAATGTTCGTACCTTTATTGTAATTTTTTCGTTCTTGCTCTGTAATTCTAGATTAGCTGTATCTTCAGTACTCGGCAGCTTTAGGATCTTAGCATTAGAAATCGCCATATAATATATATTGTGATTTGAGGGGTGGTGTGTAGCTGCGAATCGTTTACTATTAATTTACTTGTATTCGTTTGTAATCTTTACTACGCATATATATTGTTAACCGCGTTTCGCAGTATAGCGGGTAACTATTGTCTGTTCGAGATGGCAAACAGACGGGTATGGTATGTGGGGTCATGTGACAAGGGGTATTTAAGTGGAGGACAGAAGGTTGAATGTTAATCTAGGCCAGTCTCGCTACAGTGCAGTTTTCGGCGGTTTCCTTTTTTAGTCACACTTCCTGTGCTTCTCGTGTGAATCATCATGAAACAGGCAGTGCGGCACTATCAGCCCAGCAGTAAAACTTTAACAACACGACTATGTTTATTTCAAGTGCAAGTAGAAAAGACGGTTGATAGAACTAGCAGATCCCTTAGTGTCGGGAATGTATGACAACGTTCACTTCGGTTAGCCGATTGGGAAGACCTTGGACGAGATGTCAAAACATACAAGACGTACATTTCGGCCTATGTTTTGGGCGGCTAAGAGCAGGCAAGAAACATTCTGAAGCCGAGAAGAAACAGACTGCAATATTAATTTCATTTACTATGCAGCCTCGTTGGCATCATATCCGGCACCACAGCAAGATTGCTTACAAATGGCATCGAGTACTGTTTCGAGAGTGGAGAATTCAAAGAAACCATGAGCATCTTTCACGTGCCGTATTCGTTACGTGTTCTCCAATCCAAAGATGTCGAACATTAAGTTAAGTAACTCTTTATGTAACTATTTCAACACTTATGCCGATCTTGATTGTTCGTTTTTTGTGAGGTAGCATCCCTAATTTATGGGGTGTCAATTGTCGTGGCAAAAAAAAAATTCCTGTATGCATTGAGTTGTACGACGTGAGTGGTGTTACAGTCACTCCACTATTTTGTTGACTTACTATTTTGAGATTTGCGTCCCTTTGCCAGGGTCTCTTGTGGGCAGGTTTAGAGTTTGGTAATTTGTTTGTAAAGTGACAACCACTTGGTCTAAAGTGTTGGACGTGTATGCCGGTTATGGCTACTTCTCCACGGTATGTATTT